ACACACACACACACACACACACACGAATAGAGAGAGAGGGGGGAAGTGAGAGTGAGGGAGGGAGAGAGAGGTGTGTTGGCAGCGCCATAAACGTTAACGACTGTGTACCGATCACGGCCTTATCATGGGTTCGATACCTGCTTATATGACGTATGCGCTGCCGTACGATTGCCGTGTCCGTGTGTATAACTACCACTGAGCAGGCCATAAATGCTCGTCCACCGCAGGCTGCTGACTGATATACACGCACAGGTGTGCCTATACAGTCGACCCCGCATGCAAGACTCACTCACGCAAAACACCGAAAGTGTCCGCTTTAGAAAGATGACCGCTCTGTAGACAGGGTTAAGAACAGCTGCATCCATGTGGAGCAGAGGGAGGCGGTGATAGGCAGGTGAAATTGTACATATCGAGGACACATGTGAAGAAAAGGAGACGGTTGACTGACAGGTATGCACGCGGGAATCAGATGTGGTGGGGAGATGGTGACGAGTGTTTGCAAAGGCGCTATCATTGATTGTTGTTTGGCGTCAATTTTCAGGGCAGAGCGGTCAGTTAATTAGTGTTCTAGCCTCTAACTAAGCATAATATACTCACCCCACCCCGCCCCCCCCCATTATACCTAAGCCGCATCACCACTGCCACGGCTTTGGTACTCATCACCTTGCAACATTCACTACCCTTAACATAATCATCCACCCATCCTAACCCCCTCCACTCTAGGCAGTCCTAACCCTAACCCTAAGACTAACACTAATCCTAACCCTAACCCTAACCCTAACCCTAATCCTAACCCTAACCCTAACCCTAACCTTAATCCTAAACATAATCATCCACCCATCCTAACCCTCTCCACTCTAGGCACTCCTAACCCTAACCCTAACCCTAAAGTGCGCGTGCGTGCGCGTGGGTGGATGTGCACACGTGTATGGCGGTGTGTGTACACTGATATGGGTGTAGCCGCTCACCGTACACACAACAGAGCGAATATAATCGCGTTCTGTTTGAGAACGCGATGAATAATACATCGGATGCCAGCAAGCAACGTCGTGGAGACGCGTCTATACTAGCTCCCCGTGTTTATCCCTCGCCGTGTCCACAACCAACCTACACCTATAGCGCAGCGCTGTGATCAAACATTGACAGCTGTTCATCCTAGGATGCGCCTCTCTTCGCCTCCCTCCCCACATCCTTTTCTATATCTTTCGCCAGCTCACTCCGCGCTCTCTTTTCCGTCGCGGTCTCTTTCTGTCGGACTCTGTCTCTGATCCCCCACTCACCTTCGCTCTCTCTCGTCCTCATTCACTCTTGTTTTTTACTCGCCCTCTCTTTCACGCACACAAACGCGCGCGCACACAAACGCAAGCAACTAAGCTCTCACGCACGGACGAACGCACGTACGCTCGCTCGCACGCACGCACGCACGAATTTCTTACCTATTCATATCTCCAGCCTTCGCCATTTCACTGTAGTCGCAGCTGCGCGACAAGCCAGCGTTTATCAGACAAGTTCTCTTTCTGCAAGAAAACAACGCGCAGGAGTTACCGCGCATGCGCACGTTCACGCGAAATTAACACAAGCGCAACATTCCAAAACAAATTCGGCCAAGCTGGCTAAATATAACATAACATGGTTAACACGTCCGTTATAGAAGCAGGCACATCGAGCTCCTACGCGTACACATCAGTGATATAGGTTCAAAGGACGGAAGCGCGTTTTTTGCACTGCACTGAGCTATTTATTTGCGAGTGCTGGATCGCAAAGCGCGGAAAATACGCGTTTCTCAGCGCGGACGCGGCGTTCACACGCGGGGAATCTCGTCTGCTTGCTTTGTCTCGCTGCTATACCGAGGCTGCGGCGGCAGCGTCGGAGGTGGCTGGCGGCGATATTCGACACCAATATCCGCCGTCGACGACTACGTCACGTTTATTCGCACGCGCGCACGCGAGAGAGAGAGAGAGAGAGAGAAAGAGCGCGAAAAGCGCGTTTGCGAACACCGCGTTTGCGAAAAACGCGGCGTGACGACGGAGCAAGCAAAACAGAACAAAGTAGCAGCTGAGCTTGCTCGATCCGTGTGCTGCTCCCGCGGGATGGCTTCAGTTGCTAGGATGTGTCGGCGCACTCCCAGCCTCCCACCAGGATGCCGGTGCGAAGAATGGCGGCCGGTGGCGCGGTACGTGACGTGCAGACGAGAGTCGACGAACGGCGGCCATTTTAATTGCCGCTTTTGTTGAGCATTTCTCTCTCACACACATTCTCTCATTTTCTCTTTTTTTGTTTTACTTCCTGTCTCTCCTCCCCTCTCTCTCTCTCTCTCTTTCTCTCTCTCTCTCTCTTCATCTCTCTCTTTTTCCCCTCCCACCCTCTATCTCTCTCTCCCCCTTCTCTTTCTTTCTCTCTTCTTCCCCCTTCCTTCGTCCCACCCTCTCTTTTCCTCCAATTCTCTTTCATGTCTTTTTCTCGCTCTCCTCCTCTCTTTCTATATCACGCTTCTACGTTTTCTCTCTTCCTCTTTTTTTTCTCTCTCTTTCTCTCCGCCTTTCTCTCTCTCTCTCTCTCTCTCTCTCTCTCTCTCTCTCTCTCTCTATCTCTGCCTTCTGCCTCGTATAATACGTGAAGCATACATCATTCTCTAACTTACTGCTGTCTGGCCATCGTTCCGTCTAATTCATCAAGAAATGCCTTCAGCATCGTGATCCTGTATCTCTGCTCCGCCAATTCACTCATAGATCTGAAGCGAGAGAGACAATGACGCAATATCCATCCAACAAGAGAACGACTTAATGGCGAGAATGAGTTTCAATGAGAGAGCGATTCACGTTTGTCTTCCATTCGACGTTCGGCGCGCAGGAGACTCGCGCGATCGTAACGATTCGGAAATTTATGAATAATAAATATCTTGATAAATACATCGTACACAAAATGTCGATTTTACGCGGCGATAAAACAGATTTGAAAACGCGCAGATATGCACTGCTAACGACTTGCCAAAGATTGTCATCGAATCGGTGATTAGGACTAGAGAACTAGCGCCCGCTGCGCCCCTTAATGTCATTTATCGCGGCGTCGGGGAGGAATCCCGCTATGACTGCAGGCTGAATGCAGCGATTGCTGAGATGTTAGATGATGTGTACACGTTTCCCACGCGCACCTGTCTTCATCACCATCGCCAGGCAACGACGTGTTAACGGATGCAAGCGTTCGCGCAAACTCAACGAATCCGAAAACATTGCCAGTAATAACGTGCAAATTAGTTTATCGAATATTTTTAGTGAAACAAAACCGACAGGATTTTAAATAAGCGAGAAGGCGTTTGCAGAAACAAAATAACGGAAGAAAAATACATTCTCATGAGAAGAATATTTCTGATTAAGAAAGATTCATACCTCACCCAGAGCCTTCGGCATCTATATTCTCCACAGCAGAATTTTCTTTAATCGTTCATCTATAGTACGTCCATACCTACTTCCTATACTATTAGTCGATCAGCTCGCTCTTGTCCTCTTCCCCTGTACGGTTTTCAATCCTATAACCGCGTCAGAAGTCGTCTTCCGGTCAACTTCCCTTATGGTGACGCACGACATCGCGCGTAATAATCACGCGGATCTCAACTTTAGTCCGATGCAAGAACTCTTCCGTCGGTGCTACACTTACAAGGTGCATATAGAGCTTCCGCGAGAGACGCACGCATCGACGTGTTCTCACAAGATCCCCGGCGAAAATTGTGCGCAAAAAATAACAGCGATGGCAGACTGGTTAATTATCACTCAGGTTTTCCTATCAGCCGCCATTGCTACGACCGGAGGACGTTGTGAGTTGGCGCACAGCTACAACGGCACGCGCAGGATATTAAATTTGTATACATAAACGCGGACAGCTTGATATTAAGTGAAGATGTATTTCGTTTAAAACGCCGCCTGGTCACACAACGCAAGCAATAACGTCGTGTCAATATGGGCAAGTGAACGTGTTTGTGTCCAGAATGTTTGAACAGCGCGTGCGCGCTCGCTTTCGATTACACTATTGCTACTAAAGAGCAGAAACACGTTCGATATCTACATGCGATCATAAAGTACCAGCTCGCTAGAAGGGCTTCTCTAGACACTGCGATATCTTAGCTCATCACTGGTACATTTTCTATGTATGTTTGCCGAGACGCACGGTTTTGCGCACCCGTACTAATACTAATATAAAGTATAACTCTACTACAACAGCACAGCGTTTAAATAACGAGTGAAATAATGAAGGAATACGTGTTGCAAGCGATATAGAAGGAGACGCTATAGAAAGAAGATGCGGAGGCTTGCACGTTAATTACGTAAGATACGCTAATATAATACGGTATAATCTAAAATAGTATAGTATAGTATAGTATAGTATAGTATAGTACAGTATAGTATTTTAGACCCCCTAACCTTAGGCTCACACCACTGCCTACAGCAACAGGACACGCGTCTTTTTAGGGCGGAAGTATACATAGCGCCAGCCGTACATCGAGCTTAAAAGAATAATCGATTGATCGGCCTGTTGTTCCGCACCANAAGAGAGAGAGAAAGAGAGAGAGAGAGAGAGAGAGCGAGAGAGAGAGCGAGAGAGAGAAAGAGAGAGAGAAAGAGAGAGAGAGATCAGCCTAAAGATTTAAGGAGATTGTTATTGACTGAACGTATTTAGAATACAAAAAGAAAGAAAGAGAATAGTTAGAAACAATAAGAATAGTTATTATTATCTGCGTCTTAATAATTTGTTAGAAACATGTTGAATGATAAATTTCGTAAAATAATTCGTAGAGGGTTTTTATACGCATTTATTTAGGATGGTAATTCGAATGACAAAGCGAACCGACTGTTGCTAACACGAAAGCCTTTGAAATTAACAATTTGAAAATTGCTCGCGTGTTTTTAGAACGTTGAGTACGCAAAAAGTTACTAAAACGGAAACATTGGAAATGAAAATTACTTAGAATTTTTTTAAATAATGCAGGCTATATCGCCGTATTTGTTCTGCCTAGACCAACGATAAAAAATAAAACAAGCATACTCAATCATTACGTCCTTGAATTTCTTCCCGGCGCGCATTGTAAATTCAAACGGTTTCAAAAAGTCGGTGTTACCACGAATATATCTCAACTATGTAGTTCAAGGGAGCATAAATATTATGCATGGGGCGTTACTTAGACCTGCTCCCAAGTCGTTTGGTGCACGCAGGTTTAATAATGCATAGCATTGGCGTCGCATCCGTCTAAAAGGCAAACATAAATAAGTTCGTGATAGCTGTTGGCGATGAAATCTGAGGAACGTGTTTTTTTATTGAACAGAAAATGATTACCCCCCTCCCTATTTTTTCGAAAGAAAGATTAACCGTGTGTGTCTTAATTAATAATAGAGAAAGAGCGAGAAAGAGAGAGAGACTTTGCGCCGGGCCGCGCGATGAGATGAGAAGCGGGTAGAAGACGAGAGATGAGAGACGGAGACGAGAGAGAGTAGAGAGAATGGAGAAAGAGAAAGAGAGAAAGCGAGAGAGAGAGAGTAGAAGGAAGAAAAAAAAAAAAAAGGGGTAGGAGAGAGAGAGAGAGAGGAGATGAGACGAGAGAGGAGAGGGAGAGAGAGAGAGCGAGAACAGAGAAGAGAGAGAGGAGAGGTAGAGATGAGAGATGGGGTGTAGAGAGAGAAAGAGAGAGAGAGGAAGGGGAGAGAGAGAGATGAAGAAGAGAGAGAGAGAGTGATGGAGACACACACACACACACACACACACACGAATAGAGAGAGAGGGGGAAGTGAGAGTGAGGGAGGGAGAGAGAGTGTGTTGGCAGCGCCATAAACGTTAACGACTGTGTACCGATCACGGCCTTATCATGGCGTTCGATACCTGCTTATATGACGTTATGCGCTGCCCGTACGATTGCGTGTCCGTGTGTATAACTACACTGAGCAGGCATAAAATGCCTCGTCCACCGCAGGCTGCTGACTGATAACACGCACAGGTGTGCTATAACATCGACCCGCCATGCAAGACTCACTCACGCAAAACACCGAAAGTGTCCGCTTAGAAGAATGACGCTCTGTAGACAGGGTAAGAACAGCGCATCCATGTGGAGCAGAGGAGGGCGGTGATAGGCAGGTGAAATTGTACATATCGAGGAACACATGTTGAAGAAAAGAGACGGTGACTGACAGGTATGCACGCGGAATCAATTTGGTGGGGAGATGGCTGACGCAGTGTTTGCAAAGGCGCATCATTGATTGTTGTTTTGCGTCAATTTTCAGGGCAGAGCGCGTCAGTTAATTAGTGTTCTAGCCTCTAACTAAGCATAACTATACCTCACCCCACCCGCCCCCCCCATTATACCTAAGCCGCAATCACCACCTGCACGGCTTTGGTACTCATCACCTTGCACCATTCACTACCCTTAACATAATCATCCACCCATCCCTTAACCCCCTCACTCTATACAGTCCTAACCCTAACCCTAAGATAACACTAATCCTAACCCTACCTACCCTAACCCTAATCCTAACCCTAACCCTAACCCTAAACCGTTAATCCTAAACATAATCATCCACCCATCCTAACCCTCTCCCTCTAGGCACTCCTAACCCTAACCCTAACCTAACCCTAACCCTAACCCTACCCTTACCCTAATCCTAACCTAACCCTAACCTTATACCTAACATAATCATCCACCCATCCTAACCCCTCCACTCTACGGCAGTCATAACCCTAACCCTAACCCCGTCAGCAAGTAGCTCTAGTCAATTCCTAGCCGTGCCCCACTTCGCACCTTGCTGTTTGAACGTGCATCGACGATCATGTGCTGGCATCGCGAGAACATTTTTACTGTCGCTGAAATCGCCGTCAAACGGCTCCGAAAGACGACAGTTGACAATCACCGTCTTTTACTGCTGCGCTTTCCTTTACATCGCTGAACTCTCTTATTGTTTCTTTAGCTTTCTTTGCTTTAGGTTTTTTTTATTTTTTATCAGCCTGGCCTAAATTCCCGCGCGTTTTCACAGTGTATACCCAAGCCACAAGTATATCCCCCAACACTATATATATCAGGAGTAGATAATAGGGATACACCTAACCTATTATCTACTCCTGATATATATATACATCGAGTAAAAATGTATCTGAAAGATATCAAGGTTTGTAAGTTTAAAAAATACCCACAGATGTTAGCGATGCTTCACACCGTACTTCACGACCTTTAAGTCAAAAGCACGTATCGGTGACAGGCGACGAAACAAGAGAGACGCCGTTCGAATTCAATTGAGGAAATCCGACGATTCTTCGCGATCGAATCAACACTATTTTCGCACAAAATTAACAGATGAGCATGCGTCGCTACACAGAGCGCCTGACAGGTGACAAATCGAATAAACGCCCACAGTGAGAACGCCGAAACAATTAAAGTTTATGTGGTGTCACGTGAGGGTGACAATGACGAGGCATACGATGATGCTGTAGTAGCTGCGTGGTTGGTAAATTAACGCGAGCAGTGCTATATATACTGGTGCACCATTATGTGCATGATTAACGGAAGCTAATTAAACATGATGCGAGTATAAAGCGGATAGCGATTATATGGAGTGTCACTCCCATTACGACCGTGGTTATTGCCGTAGTAATGTGCGCAAGTGGAGCGAGGTGGCGACTCGGGACCATTCCTAGTTTCCTAGATAAAAATGCCATGTGCCTGTTCCGGTTGATTAAAATCGCAATTTCTGCTT